AACACTAATATATGACTCAACATGACGTAAAAATTTATAATTCACATAACGTCAAGATGCTTCTCGTCACGGGGAATTATTTTTGTAACTCGACACGACACGGCTTAAAACCACGACGAAACTTCTGATTACGAAACGCCGAATACCGCCGTGGCATTTTCCGAACCGAAACATCCTATCCTCCGGATATCGTTATGGGATTCAAGCTTAATAAAATATGTAAGCTATTTTTCGTAGCGCGCATCAGGATATTAATATCACCGTCACGCGCCGTGAAGGCCGATAATGGGTCGGGGAGACTATTTTTATAAGCGTTGACGCAGACCAGCGAGCGCAATGTAACACGGATCGAAGCACTTCCCATTCGGCGGCGTCTGTAAATCATGACAGTCGCTGTACTTTCGAGCGGCGTTACATTCGTACGGAGAGATTCGACCGTAATTTGCACGGATCGCGGACCAAGCTGCTGGAACACGAAAACGCTCGGCTGCGCTCTCTCTCTCTTCGTAGGTTAGAGGAGGGCGAAATGTCACGCGGGTTGAAGCGCATTACCATACGGTATGACCGTGAAGCCGTGCATAAGGCAATCGCGCGCGTCAGGCCCGAATTAATTATTCCCTAACAGCCCCGAGTGAGGTTCGCTCTCGTTCTCCTTCCGCTTTCCATCCGTCGTCTCTCTCCGTTTCTTCCTCTTTTTCTCTCCTCCCCCCCCGTCTCAATCTCTCCGATTGGAGAGACCCCTCGTGCCGTTACACTACGCGCGCGCCACGTGCATCGTCACGCTGCGACGCGTAAAAAAAGGTGTATTGGAGTAATTTCGCTTCTTTCGAGAGAAATAAACTGCTCGGGAGCGAGAGAATATATATATGTATATCACGCGATTCTGCCGCTCGTTTTAGCATCCCGCGTCCGTTGAGCGTTGCTCCTGCAGCACATTAGCGAATGATAAGCGATGAATTACGGACGCGAAGATGTATGAATCAAGTCATTTGCTGAATGAAATTCCAAAAGAAGGAGTTCAGCGTGTTCGACTGCGTATTAAAATTGGCGCGTTTCTGAAAGAGGGAGAGGCCGGCGCCGCGGATGCAAAGTGACGTGTCGACATAGATTAGCCGCGTTCATGCGAGGATGATTAAGCCGGTCTTCGTGCACCCGTCAATTCGCTATCGGTGTTTTCGCAACGATCGCCGAAAATTATCGTCGATGCCGTTCACGGCGTAATAACAGAACTCTCAATTTCCCACGCTCGTTGGAATTCAGGCGAGATTACATCGTCACGCCCATCCTCGAGAGATAAGATTTTCTAACGACTTTATCCTTAACCCATACGTTTTTAACTCGGGGATATTAAGTCGAAAAAGCTGAGGAAAAGGGACGAGAGTGGAACGGTTGAGAAGGGGGGGGGAGAGGAGTGAAGGAAGAGTAATGACGGTAATATCGTGGAGCCCCTTCCGTACAGGCAGGTCGAGGGCCGCACGGAGGGCAAATTTTGGCGGATAGAGGGGCGAGAGGACTGGCAAGCCGAGGGCCGGGCGTTTGATGACGTCATCATCTGCTCTAATGCTCAGACATTACCGGGTTTAATTATTCGACGGCCCCGTCTCTCCGACCCTTTCGCCGTTCCTCCTCGCTTTGCCGACGGTAATCGCTCGCACCCTTGCGTACCTTCCTCCTTTCGGCGAGAGAAGAGAGGAAAATAAAGGGAGCGAAGAGAGAGAGAGAGAGAGAGAGAGAGAGAGAGAGAGAGAGAGAGAGAGAGAGAGAGAGAGAGAGAGAGAGAGAGAGAGAGAGAGAGAGAGAGAGAGTAGAGTAGAGAGAGAGAGAGAGAGAGAGAGAGAGAGAGAGAGAGAGAGAGAGAGAGGAGAACGAACGCACGGAGGAAGAACTATCCAGTTATTTGAGCATGAAAAGAGCCGAAGTAGAATGAGGAAGGACGAGGGAAGGACGAGGTGCGGCGCGAGACTTTTTACGGCGTGTCGATGACGGAGATATCCCTGAAGATGATAATGAACGATTAACGTCAGTGTAATATTAGACGGCGTCTCGAAAGCACTGCAATGGCCGTCCCGTTTTACGGCTTCCACCAGCGAAATGTCGCTTTTCATTTCTGAAAGCGCTAATGAACGTTGACGCGCTCTGCAGGTGTCCGCGGAGCTTTGACAATTTTTCTACGGCTAATAAAGAATTATTTGTATTCAAATGGATGTAGGAAAAAAAATGTCAATTCCGTTCTTCTTGGAATTTTGAAAAATTGGTTGCTCGACGTGCACGACGTAACGATTTCGAAATGTTCGAATTGTCCGACGGTTCGTGGAAAAAATTGAGAAGATAATTTGTAGGTTTCATCACTTTTGTGACGTTCGCGGGCAGAATAACCATGCGTTCTTCATAAATTACATCGGCAATTTCATGCAACTCTGATGCGAGCCAGTATTGTATTCAATTAAAATAATAACTGTCGCGAGTAACGGTCCACTTTTCAGCGCGGGAGAGCATCAAATATAGATTCACGGTAATTACCGTTAATCAACAAGAATGGCGCAAATCGGTTTTTAATTAACGAGATATACGAAGCGCCGCGATGTCTTGTATCTCTCGATAAATGTATCATTAATGCGGATTGCTCGACGCTAATTTTTCGTATTTCATTTTGCACACCGCGAGAAGAAAGCCGCGTGCCGTCGCGGTGACACATTTCGATCGTCAAATTCCGAGTCGGGCTTCAAATCCGCCGCCCGCTTCCCTCGCCGAACCACGCGGACGTGACGTAATATCTCCCCCGATAATTCTTACACCAAAACTCACGAAGCGACCTGGGCGCTTTTCACGGTCATAAATCCATCAGTTCTAACACTCGGGATATTGATTCTGGGTCGTACCTTGGTCAGACCATCCCGGTGTATGGGTGCGCGAGAGGACGATCGAGCGGAGGAAAAAGGTTGTACGTGCTCGATCACGGTGCTATCTGGGCCGCTTCAACGATTGAATAACGGTGCCGTTTTCGCGTTCGCGAGAGCTCCGCGCGTCCGATCGCGATTCCGCTCGTGTTCGCAGACACGTCGCGTCGCGGCCCGATTAAGATTATATAATATATCCGCGAAGGGAGAAAGAGAGAGAGAGAGAGTGTATGTGTGTGTGTATGTATGTGTGAGTGCCGTGACGCAACGTCCGCCATTGGAGACGCCGGGGGAATAATTTACTCTTGGAATACCCATTTTGCGGCCGCGGTCCGGAGGATTTCATATCCGTCTGAGACGTCTGATAACGACGAGCGATGTCGTCGAGAAAGCAGGGAAGGGGAACGGCCCGTTCTCGCAGAGAA